TCTCTTAACTTATAAATTGTAGTGCAACAAAAATGTGTATTTGTTTTGCATAAAACTTCATTGATTTTAATTACAATATTTCTATATGTTATAAAAATTCTTCTACATGCCACAGAATATATACAGAAAGCTAAGTTGGAGAAAACAGAAATTTGTTCATTGTTATTTAAAGAATCACTGAATGAGAGGAAACATAACCAAGATTTCCAGCTGACCAATCCATTAGCTATGACCACTATTTCATGCTGTTGCTATACACACACCACAGACAATGAAGTGACTAATAATACTGAGCAGGTGCTTAGCACACTTACCACGTGCTAAGGGCTTTATACACATTATCATATACATTCCACCTCATTTCATCTCCACAGCAGGTCAAATCAGTGAGTACTAATGTCCTCATTTTGTTGTTGAGGAAAGTAAAGCTCGCAGAGTTTCATAAGTCATCTGCACCCACTAGTGATGGGTGGGTCTGAGACTTGAATGGAGGCAGTCTGATTGAAGAGTCAGTAATTTTTCAACGATGCTATATGGAATACTTTAATTCATCAACTCAAGATATGATACAACATGCAAAAGAACCATTTAAGGAAAGCAATAATGCACATAAATATTATAAATACAAAAATGCGGTGCCACTGAAGATTAAGCTTTCCAAATGCCCACTGAGAATTCTACACTGTAAAAGTATGAAGCATAGTAAACTAACAGACTTTTTAAGTATAAATTCTATCATAAAATAACTCAAGTACTCAGTTACTCTTACTTTATATGCTAAAGTTTTTTCCTGCAGATTTACCACTGAGTTTATCAACTTTAAATAGCTCACTTCTTTATTTAGGAATTTATTTGTGGGTTTTTTTGGGGGGGAGGAGGGAATTAGACTTATTTGTTTGTTTGTTTATTTAGTTAATGGCAGTACTAGGAATTGAACCCAGGATCTCAGGTATGCTATGCACGCGCTCTACCACTGAACTATACTCTTCCCCATAAAGCTCACTTCTGAAAAGGCTATTTCACAAAATGATTTATAAGACTTATTATCAACACTTTGACTTCAAAAATTTATGATTAACAAAAATAGAAGTATATTATTAGATTCTTAAATCTTTTATTTAGGCAAGTCAGCCAGTATTAAATATTATATGTTTAACAGATTGCCAAAAATCACTGGTTCACTAGTACAAACATGAATGGGCTAAGTTTAAAGGATGGTTTAACAATGGAAAAAATTATGATGTTTCTAAGACATAGTTAACTCATACTAGAAGCAGTTTCTCTTACTTTGTAATCAGAGGACAATGCAAAATCCATCTGTGTAGTCAAACATATTGCAGCCATACCCTCTTCAAAGTCAGTTGAAGTTCAGGCAGGCATTTTGCTTTGATTGTCCTTAGAAGTCAAACCCTGTTGTCAACAAGCTCAAAAATCTGCAGTACATCATTCTATTCAGCATGAGTTAATATGGGTATTTGAAAGTATTTATGATACACAGGTAATGGAAAAAGTAGAAGAAAAATACTGTAATAAATCTGAAACATAAGAGATGATTGATTTTTTAGATAGATCATAAGGTTTTCCAGAAACGTCAGTGAAATAATAAAGAACTGGGGAGGGGGGTGGAATATTGCACGACTCCATTAACGTGAACGTCCGTAATAGGCACATTCAGAGATAGAAAGTAGATTAGTGGTTGCCTAGGACTGGTGATGTGGCGAAGAACTGGGGAGTGACTGCTTATGGGTACTGGGTTTCTTTCTGAGGTGATGAAAATGCTCTAGTGTAACGGCTGCACAAGTCTGTGAACATACTAATAACCACTGATTTGTACACTTTAAAGGGGTGAATTTCATAGTATGTAAACTAAATCTCAATAAAATTTTTTCTTAAAAAACAAAGAAATAAGCAGTCTGAACAGGAGCTGAATTGCTGAAAACATCTTTGGGGACCACTCAGGACTGCCTAGAGGATGTGCTGTTTGGGACCGACTGGCCCCTCCACCCTCATCCAGTGGTTGGAGCTGCTCTCCAGCTCAGCCTCCCACAAAACTAGTGCTGTCTCCCCACGAGGAGAGGAAGAGGGCAGAAGACAGAGAACTGTGATTATTTCTCCTCTTAGCACAAAGCCTAAATTTTCTACAACAAGCATAAAACCAACGAAATAAGTACTTATTAATTTCAACTTCCTCTTCTTCTGGTAGTTCAACAATACATGTAATAAACATTAGCTGTTCAACTTGACTTTGCTCCTGAAACGATTTGGCTGAACTGAGTAATATCTACTTCAAAGAAATGTATGCATTCTTTCTCCTCTTACTTTACCACCCATTAAACATTTCATTTCATTTTTACTTCTCCATTCTAGCTAGAGATCATTTGTTTTATTGTTTTTATCCATCTTACATGTTAACCATTGTGTCATCAGTACTTGAAGTAATTCCTACGACATCTAGATTTTCTTGTTTTATTCAATATAGTACAGTTCATGCCATGAAAAGCATCATTATATCTGGCTATATATTGGGTATTTATTTTCTTTTGAAGAACATCATGCCAGTGTTTTATGTTGTTGAATATGTCTTTGCTTGTTCACTGCTATTCAATTCTGGTAACTACATGCATGATTTTTTTGTTTGTTTTTTAATGCAGGGAAAGTTCTGTATTCCTTTGATAAAATGAACCTAAAGGCTAGTAGTCATACATCTTCCTTGTCAAAAAATGACTTTTAAGATTGGTTGTGAAAAACAGAACGGTGACAAAACATTTTGCCTTTGAACTTAGAGTACAAAAGACAGTTTCAACAGTTTCTTTCTTCACTTGAAAGAATTTGTTGCA